AACGGTCAATGTTGAAAGTCAACGCCGGAAGTCAACCGTCAACGCCGGAAGTCAACAATTTTCGCCCGAACTCAACGTCGGAAGTCAACGGTCAACGCCGAAGTCAATGGTCAATTGTCAAAATAATATTTAAAGAATTAAAATAATAAAATAAAGGAATACGTAATAAAAATAAAAAATTATTATTTAATTAAAGAGTTAATCTTAGCCACACATAATGTACCAATCTAATGGCTAGGAATGGGTCTCACATTCACACTTTAAATATGTGGACTCATTGGATCCAATCCCTATATATATATAGGGGAGGATCCAACGAGTCCACTCCTTAAAATGAGTCCACTCCTTAAAATGAGTCCATTCCTTAAAATATATATTAATTAAATAATAAAATAATTATTAGTTGACTCCAGCGTTGACCGTTGACTTCCGGCAAAAAATCGTTGACTTTCGACGTTGGCCGTTGACTTCCGGCGTTGACCGTTGACCCCTAGTATGCATTATATGTATGAAGTAAATATACATCCAGTACCATGCATTCAATATGAACTAAATATGCATGGAATATGAATTGCACATGCAGTTCTTATGAACTAAATATGCACCAATAATATCAACTAAGTATGCACCTGTTATGAACTAAATATGCATCATGAATGAACTAAATATGCAGCGAAAAATATGCAATAAAATGTGCATTTCATATAGGTAATTTATGATGCATATTTAGTTAATTTATTATGAATATTTAGGTAATTTATGATGCATATTTAGTTAATACGAAATGCATATTTGTTATATTTAAATTAAATATATAATAATATTTATATAATTAATTTATTATGCATATTTACTTACGAAATGCATATTTAGTTCATGAACAGTGCATACCTATTTTATTTGAGATCCAATCATAACAATTTATTTGTGTTATTAATCAATTTAAAATTAAAATTAATTATATAATAAAAATTATTTGTGTTATTAACTAAATATGCATCTGTTATGAACTAAATATGCATCATGAATGAACTAAATATGCAACGAAAAAATATGCAATAAAATGTACATTTTATATAGTTAATTTATGATGCATATTTAGTTAATTTATTGTGAATATTTAGGTAATTTATGATGCATGTTTAGTTAATACAAAATGTATACTTGTTATATTTAAATTAAATATATAACGATATTTATATAGTTAATTTATGATGCATATTTAGTTTATTCATTGTACATATTTAGTTTTACGAAATGCATATTTAGTTCATGAACAGTGCATACCTATTTTATTTTAAGATCCAATCATAACAATTTATTTGTGTTATTAATCAATTTAAAATTAAAATTAATTATATAATAAAAAATCATTAATTATTATATTTAAGTTAATTGTATAAAATGTATATTTTATTGTATATTTTCGTTGCATATTTAGTTCATTCTTGATGCATATTTAGTTAGTAAAATGTGCATATTTAGTACATAAACAATGAATACATAGTTGATATTATTGCTGCATATTTAGTTCATAAAGATGACATATATAACTCATTTCTTACGCATATTTAGTTCATACTAAGTGCATAGTACTGTATGCATATTTACTTCATACAAAATGTAGAATAGGGGTCAACGGTCAACGTCGGAAGTCAACTGTCAACGCCGGAAGTCAACGGTCAACGCCGAAGTCAATGGTCAATTGTCAAAAGAATATTTAAATAACTAAAATAATAAAAAAAAGCATTAAGTAATAAAAACAAAAAAATTATTATTTAAATGAAGAGTTAAATATTGGCCACACATCATGTACCAATCTAGTGGCTAGGAATGAGTCTCACATTCATACTTTAAATATGTTTACTCATTGGATCCAAACATGTACATATGTGTGTATAAATCGGTTTTCGATTCAGTTTGTTTCGGTTAACCGATCACAAATATTCAAACCGTACTAAAAAATGAAAAATTTAAGAAAATGTAAACCAAAAATCGAATCAAATATCTGATTCTGGTTTCGGTCGATTCTGCTCGGTTAACCGAACTTTGTGCACCCTAAAAAGTGCTCTTAGGAGTTTTCCTGGTAATTAGTGGGTACCCCTTGTGCTATTCCGTTTTAACAAACTTTGTGTTGCTTGAGGTGTTATATATTCCCTAATTATAGTTGAAAAAAAAAAAGTCATTGACACTTCAAAAAAAAT